GTCTGAGTTTGGTTAGTTTAATTTATACAGATCTCGCCGCAGTGATTTTCCAATAATTTTGACTCACACTGTATACCCGATCATCCCTTGCAAACACCTCAAACCATGATTCATCACTCCAAATTACTTTATTCCATCTTTTATTTCAAGCTTTTTTTTTTTGCGCCCATTGCATACGGATCACATGATTGCTTTCATTTATGAATGGTTTTCTTATACCAACCCGACCAAAAAACACTTCTTCATGAAGGTAATGTTGCACAGTACTTGTGGATACATTGATAAATGTTGATTCGATGAATTTGTTTGTTAATATATTTAGCATTGACTTTCTGTCTTGTTTTAAAAGGCAAACCAAGTGACATGTTTCATGTTCAGTTATTTTGGAAGGTCACCCAGGCCGAGGAAAAGGTACTGTCTCTCCATTCTTCTTATAATAATTAACTACATCATAAACAGTACTCTTTGGTAATCTCAAAGTTCTTATTATTGCAGCTGGTTTCTGGCCACACCACCAAGCACCAATTATTTTGACACGCTGTTTTTTATCAAGTTGTTTGCGTTTCATAATTTTTTTAAAAAAAAAAAAATACAGCGTAAAAGATTTTGATCTAATAAAATTGTAAAAAAATTTTTGTAACTTTATTGTTACAAAAAAAATATTTTAGTTAAGTATCATAATCATTAATTGTGCATAAATTTAGAAAATTCCAGTGATTTATGGTAGGGGAGTGTATGATATGATAAATTATAAGTTGAATGAAATTGTTTATAAAATTTAATAAAAAATAAATAATTTGCAGCTGCAAAAGAAATTGTATAAGTGACAAAAAATCTTTCTAATGTTATATTGATTACATTTATTTTAGAATTAATTAACTTGATACTTTTTATAAAATTATTTGAAAGTAATAGTTTAGAATTTAATTTTGTTTTTTTGGCTGATTTTTTTTTGTTTTTAACAGTTCTATTAGCAATTATCTTCAAAAATTCATTTTGGATTTTACTAGGGTAAAATACATACTCACTTGTTAAATAATCTTCCAAAATATTTGATTTACTATATTAATATTTTTTATATTTATCTTTTAGAATATTAATATAATATTTACCTTTTAAAATATAATATAATATTTATCTTTTAGAATAGAATATAATATTTACCTTTTAGAATATTAATATAATGCCAGGTATGTCAAACGTTAGAGTAATAAGCTGTTAATAAAAGTATTAATAGGCAATATTAGCTTAGATTATTATGTATGTAATTATCTAGATATTAATTTATCAATAAAAATTTGCATATATTGCTTATTTCAACTTAAAAACAATAAGTTTATCGATCAATATACTTATAAGGCCAGCAAAGATCAGAGTTATTTTTCTCTTCGTGTTATTTATTGATTCAGATATAGCGAATTAAAAAATTCCTTTCGATTTGGATTTCTTCGACTTCTGTATATAGATAGCTACCGTCCGAAAGTCCAATTTGTTTTACGTTGAACAAAAATGGAAATAACAAATATTAAGTTTCTTAAGAATTCATTGCAAAAGGAATTAACCCTGGTAAATCATAATTAACTAGGAAAATAAAATATCTAATGAAACAAATTATAATTCACAGAATTTAACTCTGGCACAATATAATAATGTACTTCAAAAAAGCGTCCAAAAATAAAAGAACGCATTTCGAAAAAAAATTCACTGACATCTATTTTCAATAATTCAAATAAAATTGAAATCCATCCCCCTACTATACACATATGATTAATTTCAATTGTAGTTTTTACAATGCGAACTGCATGAGAAACAATCCACGTTACCAACCATCATCACGAGTTTCTTCGTCAACATTTGTACATAAATAATTCTTTACTCCTTATCTCAATTCTTTAACATTTATAGAATCTATAGTAAATTTATCTTTTAATGCTTTTTGCCCACGCTTCGACGTTCACTTCGGCTGAGGCTGAGGCTTTGACGTAAGGATGTTTCTGGTTTTAAGTTATTAAGTTGAAATAATAAATCAGAAAAAAGGATCAAATATTATAGTGAAAAAAAATCTTACCAATAATTCTTTTGGTGGCGGTCGTGTATCCACATTTTTAATCAAACTGAATTATTGGAATAAAATAGGTATTTAGCGTTATTACTAATAAATTTATATTGAAGAAAATTTACCTTACCATTTACTAATTAAATCGCAAAAGTCATCCGGGAATTGACCTTCTGGTAGCACTGGAGCAGGTTCATTTACAATGTGTTGCAAAAGCTCCAAGACGGTGAGTTGACTGCCATCTGGAGGAAATGGGAATCGACCCAGAGCAAGTTCCATCAAGGTAATACCAACAGACCAAACATCAGACCGTACACTATATTCAGCACCTTGAATACGTTCAGGCTACATTTAAACAAATTATATATTAAATTTACCATTTCCTGATAAGAACAAATTTATAGTAACTTTAGCAATTGTTTCGAACTTACAGACATATAATGTGACGTTCCCACAAAGGTGTTTGCAATAGAATTAATTAGTTGACCAGACACACCAAAATCACAGATTTTGATTTGTCCTTTTAAATTGACAAGGATATTGGAGGGCTTCACATCTTTAGAATAATAATAAATTTTAAGAATGAATTACTAATTAGAATTAATTTATCCATAATATCAAGAAATTTTACCCCTGTGAATGATTCGATGATGACCATACAAATAGTCTAGTCCTTCTAATACCTAAAAAAGTAATGCAAAAAATTAATATTATTTTATATTTGGATATTACAATATAGACGTAATTACGTGTACCGCGATCTGAAAAATAAGCAACCATTATTAATTTCTATCTAGAAATTAGATAGATTGTGGTTGCTTATTTTTAGGTTTCAAAGTAATTAGAATTATTATTACATACTGATAAGGTGATCTTTCCTAGTATTCCTAAATCAATAGGACCAGTGTTCTTGTAGATATAGTCAAGCGAACTAATATAAATGTATCAAATTATATATTAAGCGAGTGAAATTAATAAGTAAATGTAGATTGATTAGGCAATAACAATGTTTACCCAACATCCATGTATTCCATACACAATGAAATGTCTGAGTCAGTCATGAATGCACCGTAAAATGAAACGATATATTGTGATTTACAATCTTGAAGAATTTGGTACTCCCGATGAATTTGTTTAATGACATCTGGCTTTTTACCAATATGAATAATCTAGATTAATATAAGTCAAAAAAACAAATAACAAGAAATTTGGGTAAGTAATGTCATGTAATGAAACAATAAGAAACGAGTTCAATCACTGAGCGTCCACCTTTTCTATACCTTCATGGCCATCAGAGTCTTTGTAGTAGCATGCATAACCTGCGAAACTGTGCCTCCATTACCTGCACCAAGTTCTTTTATCGGCTTTAAATCTTCAGCTTTCAATTCTAGCTTAAACTCTATGCCGAGCTCTAGATCATTCAGACGTTGAGTAAGTCCACCCTCCTGCAATTCTGAACCGTTCTTTGACGGTTGCTGAGTGATTGGAGAATTTTCAAGTTTTAGATGTATGTTTCGTTTTTTTCTGATGGATCTAGCATTCTGTGATGTCATTATGTAGATTTGTGGAACACTATTTACTGCTGAGGAAGGGAGCGACAGAAAGGAATAGACTATTGGAAGCAGAAACGAAGTTGAGAGAAACACAAAGACACAAAGGGAAGAAAAAGCTTCCAAAAAGATTGTAGAGTAGCCTCTCGTGTCGTGCAGTATTATGGTTTACGATCAGATAAGGTTGATTGGTTCAACGATTCCCCTTATCAATAATAGTATTACCCAATCGAATTTACGCAGTTTGATAAATATAATTTTTTTAAGTAATTTTTTTAATGTCAAATTTTTATTAACAAATTGATTTTTTTTTTTTGCAAAAAGGCGTTACATTTATTAAACTTTATGTTTATTAACAGATTAATATAAAATTATTTAAATATTTTAAAAAAATTTTTTTTTTAAGTTGGTTAAGAAGATTAAATGCAAGACTTTATTGATGTTCATATATTCTGTTATTATATTAAACATCTTTATAGATTAAACTATTACTATTCTAGAATGTAAATTAATGCTACCTAGTAATTACTATTTTCAGTAGTACTAGTTTTCCAAAGTTTAACCTGACTATTTTGGTTGGTTAGCTTGCATCAAGTAAATGGATTTATATTAGGTAAAACTTATATAAGATAGAAAAAATCTTAAATCTACTATCCTATTAGTCTAATCATATTTTTCAACTATTTGTTAAAAGAAGGTTATATAGAATATTATTATAGAAACTAACATCAGTATTTCAGTTATTGTTATTGCTTTTTCTTAAAATGTATCACTAGTATAACATTGTACTACCATTTTTACTATCTGTAGAACTAGTATTCTTACTTGGATTTCAATTTAATTTTGAAAATTCTTATTAAATTTATTTGGTCTTAACAATTTTTATTTAGATTGTCACTATTTCGAATTATTTTTATTCTTTCAATCCATTTTAAGTTTTAGAAAATATTACAATTGGAATAGATTTTTAAGCTTCATATTGAAATAAATTAGTTTAGAATTAGTTTTTTTATAGTATAATGAAGTTTGCTGTTATCAGTTTTGATTAAAGTTTGTGGATTTGTTATTTGAAGTTAGATTAGAAACCTTTTCTTGTGCAACTTTTTATATTTTGACTTGTTTTTAACTTACAATTGTTGAAAAAACCAAAGATCTTATCTTTATATAATTTAATTGAATCTGAAAGTAATTAAGAATTATTGAATATAATAAAAAAAAAAAAATTCTTTCCCCGACACAATATTTTTTTTAAAAATTTCCTTTTATAAAAATTTTCAAAATTAGAAAAAATATTTTTTTTGCTTTTCAATACCCATAAGTCCTTTATATCTCTTTAACTTTCAATATCAAAAATCTCAAGAAACTAAAGAAGCATATTGATGCATTGAGATGAAATCTTTGGTTAGAAGTAAGCAAGCTTGAGAAATTTGCTTTTCTCTTGAATTGCATAAGGAAAAACTTGTGGCAGTTGTCTTCTTTACAAGTTTTTCTTGGAGTTTTTCTTATTTATATTTTTTATTAAAACATTTCTTATTAATATACAAACACTTTTAAATATTTATGTTCTTGACTTGAAGGACTTTATTTCATTTCAAAATACAAACTTTTATATTAACTTTGTTTATATCACTGGTCTGGGGAACCATTGGTATATACAAAAAACAACTTTTACCATTATTTAATACATTTTATTGTGTTACAAAAAATTAAAAATTCTTGTTCAAAAACATTTTTTCCAAAAAACCACAATCAGTTTGCCCTAGCAACTGATTAACATTCTACCTTCAACCAATTACACAATATCAAATATTCAAACATGTCTATTATACTTGCCAAAGATCAATATAAACAACACCAAAAATAAAAATCCATTCAATCACATGATCTTATTTTCTATTAATAAACACCAAAACAATAAGCACGTTCCATCAATTATCAATCCAAAAACAACAACACAGCTTTAATTTTGTAAATCAATAACCACTACATCTAAACCTATTATATTCAATCAATTATTCAACCAATCAATCACTATTACCATGTACTATCAACTACCACATACTATCAACTATCAAGGATATATGTTATTATTACAATTATATATTTTGGACAGTAGCCTTGCCAATCACAAACCAATTGGAATTATCAGAGTGGCATGCCAAATAAGCATCCTTAATTATATAATTAATGTTACTACCATATATTTAAATAATTATTCAACTAATTAACTATTATCACCATATATTAATAACTATCAAGAAGACATATTATTATCACTACTATATACTTTAAACAATAGTCTGGCTAATCAATACAGTATATTTTTCAGTATACTCAAACAGAATGAAACTATCAGAGTAGTGCGTTGAATAGGCATTCTTAGTTATATAACTAGTTTTATTATATTTTTCACTTGTATAGTATTAAACATAAAAAATTTTTTTTTTCTCACAATTTTCTTTTATTTTTCATTTCATTTACATTCAACAAAAAATTCTAAGTAAGTAAGTATAGCTGTTACTTAATTATATTTAGCATATATAATATTGTTTTAAAATTTTTTTTTGATATTAGCTAAATATAAATATGTAGGCATGCTAGCATTTAACTTGTTGTATGCTTTTTGCATCCAAGAGATATTGTTTCTTTTACTATATATATCTATTAATATACAAATAAATAAAGAAATGATATTTAAAAACTCTCTCCTGATCGCGTCCATTTTGTTAAAAATTTTCCTTTTATGGTAATTTTAAGCAAGAAAAAATGTTTT